TCCTCCATGCTGGTTCTTCTAAGGGGCCCGGGGATTGCATGCAACTGATGAGGAAGGGCAGGAGTGCAGACAGAGAGCCCCACTTTCCCCTGCAGCCCAAGGCCCAGTCCACTGCTGCCCCTGCCCCAACACAGAGATTGCCGGTTTTCTGTATTTCATAAAATTTCTTTATTAACCATGTATTACTTTTGTAATTAATTTTAATTAATTTTTAAATTAAAAGATCATTTTATTTGGGGCTCTTACAATTCATACATCAATTGTATCAAGCATATTTGTACATATGTTGCCATCATTATTTTTGTTAATTAATTTTTAAATATCAAAGACTAAGCATTCCAGGGAGAGGTATTATAAAGATCCCACTTTATTCACTGATCTATCTTTTATTAATTTACATGCCAGGGGCTAGGACCCAATAGACTAGGGCCCTTGCCCGTAAGTGGACAGCATTCAAACCCCCAAGCACAGAGATGCCCACTTGGCAAGACAGTGACTTCCCCATACACCTCCTACCTAAGGCTGGCCAGCTAGTCCCAGCGCATCCAGATATCTGTGCCTAAAACCCCTCCCACATACTCAATCCTGGCCAGACGCCTAAGAAATGGTCTCTCTCCTCTCCTGCAAAATATCCCTGCTGCCCTCTTCTGCCTTATTTGCCATCATATGAGGGCAGGGCCAGTATTCCAAACCTCTAGCCCCAGTTGAATGGGCAAGACCCTTGTAGCCTGGACCTCACCTTAAAAAACAGCATCTTCCAGAGCAAAGCTAAGAGTGTTGGTTCTAGACTCAGGCTGTTTATGTCCATCTCTGGCTTCAACACTCAGTAGCTACAGCAACTTACAGAACATCTCTGTGCCTCAATGTTGACACCTGTCCTCTGGAAACAGTCTAAGTATATAACCCAGATATTTTCTATAATTAGCATTAACTGAGCTAATCCATTTAAAACACTTAGGATCAAAACAAACAAACAAACCAGAAACCCACTGCTGCAGTCAATTCCGACTCATAGCAACCCTACCGGGCAGAGGAAAGCTCTCCCAGAGGGCGTCCAAGGCTGTGAACTTATGGAGGCAGGCGGTCCTCGCTCCTCCTGTGGTGAGGCTGGGGAGTAGGAACAGTTGATCGTCCGTTTGCAGCCGAGCTCTTAACCACTGCGCCACCAAGGCTCCTACATTTAGGACCCATACCAAGAAACCCCATTGCCATCGATTCAATTCCAACTCATAACGATCCTACAGGGCAGAGTGGACCTCTGGTTTTCAAGACTGTAAATCTTCATGAAGGCAGACCGGCTACCTCATTGTTCTCCTGTGGAGCAGCTGATGGGTTTGAACCAGCCTTCCAGTGAGCCATCCGTTGCTTAACTCAAGGCACCACCAAGGCTCCTGCTTACATTTGGAACCAAACTCACTGCCATCGGGTCGATTCTGATCCCTAGAGACCCTGTAAGTCGAATAAAGCTGCCCCTGTGCGTGTCTGAGGCTGTGTTTACAGGAGTAAAAGTCTCATCTTTCCCTGAGGGGTGGCTGGTGGGTTCAGTGGACTCTAGCTGCCGGCCTGGTGGTAGCAGGCCACCACGAAACCGACTTTGGTGCCAGTGCGCAACAAAAGTTAGGCAACATCCTCCTCTTCCTCCTCCTCCTCCTCACCAGAGCTGGACATCACAATTCCCCCATGAGAGAGGAAACGGAGGCTGGGGAAACGGAGCGGCTTCCTCCAAGTTACACAGACAGTAAGGAAAGGAGCCCCAACTGGAGTCCTTCATGCTTTTTCTGCTCCCCGTCACCTCACACGCCACTGGGTACGGGCCCGGGAGCCTCTAGTCTACGCCGTCCCGAGCTTTCAGAAGTGCTCAGAACTCTCGACAGGCAGACGCACTCGCTGGGATACACAGCCTGTTTTATGGCCTGTAAAGTGGGAGGAATAGCTGCCATCTCCACATTGGTGCTATAACATTCAAAAAAGATAAAGCGTATATAAAAGTGCTTGGTAAAAAGTATAGAAGCTGTAGAAGCACAAAGGATTACTATCTGACACGGTACTAGATGGCAAGTGTGTGTTAAAAATGCAACGTCTAGACCAGAAACAAGAAGTTAGAGGCACGAGAAAGGGGAGCTAGAAAGGAGTGCCTAGCTGCTCGAAGTTATGGGCTATGTTTTGGATCCAAGGAGACAAAAGACCGCAAAACACGGACGGAGTTGAGAACACTGTATGAGCAGCGGCAGAGATACTTGGGCTTGAGGAGGGACGATTACAGACCATTACTCTATCAAGGTCTAAGTTTTCTGAAACCAAACTCCATGCCTTTTCCTTTTGATATCCCTTAGCTCATGCAGTCCAATATTTACTGAATAAATAAACACAATGATCCTGAGACGTATTTGAAGGCACGTATGGATAGACAGTGACTTAAACATCAGGCAGGAACACCCAGTAACAGGAAGCTGGTCTTGTACCTGGGCAAGAGGAAAATAATGCTACTTCAAGAAGATCAAACTGGGCAGCAGGCACGTGCAGGATGGAGTAGAGGCAGGAGCGGTCTGACCAGGACAGGGCTAACAGCATGAAGGCTAATGCAACACAGCATCAGGGTGAGGAAGGTCTTAACTAAGGACATGAGGGTAGAGAAAGGGAGGGAGGGAGGGAGAGGGAGAGAGAATGAGAGAGAAGAAGAAGAAGAAGAGGAGGGGGAAGAGGAGGGGGGGAGGAGGAGGAGGAGGAGGAGGAGGAGGAAGAAAGGGGCCTCAAAAGGTCCCGGGATGGGTCAGACCCAAGTAGCATGCCTCCAACTTAGGACCAGGGCCTCAGAGACAGCAGACCTGGATACCACAGCCCATTTCCTCACCTGAATAACCTGGGCAAGACACCTAACTTTCTAAGCCTGTTACTTCACCTGCAAACAGGGGAGCATGAATGCCTACCTCACTGGGATGTTGTGTGAGAATTAAATAAGGTCGCCAGGCCACCGGAGAGGGTTCAGTTTGTGGAAAAATAAAATGTAAAGATACGGACTTCCCCCACTACCGTTTGAAGCCCTCTTGTACGTAACACTCACCTAGGGATCTCGTTAAAATACAGAGGGGGGTGCTTTCAGGTTTGGACTGCTAGCTGCAAGGGCAGTGGTTCAAACCTACCAGCCACCTCACAGAAGGAGACGGATGAGGCTGTCTACTCCTGGGAAGATTTTTCAAGCTTCAGAAACCCTATGTTGGGTCACCACGAGTCAGAATCAACTTAATGGCAGCTGATTTGGTTTAGTTTGAATTGGGAGTGGGAAAGGCAAATTTTCAGCAGGGGGTGGACCAGAACAAACCTGTTGGAAGGCCTGGGTGTGTGCTCAGCCAATGGTTAACTATCACTTCCACCCTTGAGAAGACACTGCAGTGATGAGGACGTGCACGTGGGAAGACGAATGTTTCCTGGACGAAATAATGGGTGAGTAGGTAAGCCAAAAGATACACTGAAGAGTTTGCAAGCCTGGGCACTGGAATAATGATGACTGAATGCAGCCAGTTTGTGAGGAGAGAAAAGAAGTTCTGTTTGTAGGGCCATCTCTGGGGCAACATTTCACTGGGCACACTAGCACATGTGAGTCACAGCCTCTTTCAAAGAGGAAACTATGACGCAGACAACACGTATTCTCTCCTCTCCACTATACAGATGATAAACCGGAGTCTCAGAAGCTGGGTGAGCCTGCCCAAGCGTCAGGGTGGACCACGGCAGGGGCACATCGAATGCACAGGTGGCTGCTCCTTCCCCAGCACCTTGGGCTCCAGCGGTGTCACATCAGACCTGCTGGAGCTGCTCATGCCCTCAGTAAGAGAAGAGACAGACACGCCCTGGGTTTCTAACCCAACTTCCTCCCGTCATGATATTTGATGATATACATTTTAATGAGATTAAATGTTTCCAAAAGGCCTATAAAAATTGAAAGGTCGAAGTGGAGAATGAGAGTCTGGAGAACAGGTTACCAACGGCTGTGGAGGACATTTCAGACAAGGGCAAGGTCAGGAATTGGTTGCTGGGAACAGAGGACCTGAGAAGGAGAGCCTTAGTCCTCACTGGCACCTAGCCTGTACCTGTCCTGCTCTGCCTTGATGGACACCCAGCATCCTTTGATCCCTAGGCCTTCCTGGTCTCTCTTATTGAACTTTGAACCCAATTCTTTGCTCTTCCTGATCCCTCTCCTACAGGAGCTCTCCGGAAACCAGGCCGGCTGTGGCAGGGTCCACCCCCTTGGATTCAGCTGCATTAGGCAAAAGAGCCTGGGCAGTACCATGGTGAGGTGCTTGGCTGCTAACTGGCAGGTGGGCAATTCAAACCCACCCAGCAGCTCTGAGAAAAGACCTCCTTGGAAGACGGCAGCCCAGGACAACCTGTGGGGGCCGTTGTACTCTGTCATGTGGGGTCACGACGAGTGACAGCCAACCGAGAGCACCTAACCGCAAGGACTGCGCACATGTCGCGGGGTACCGAGGGACACGGACATGCACACTCTCTTTAATTAGCGGGCATGGCAAGACCCAGAGGTTCTTACATGTCTGAAAGCACTAGGAAAGAGGTGAGTATGGACGCAGAGTGCTCCGGGAGCCAGGAAAGGAGAGCCTGCTTACTGAGAGCAGTGGTGGCTGGAAGGAGGGAAGCCTGGCTTTCAGATGCTCACAGGAACCCGGACAAAAGGCACATTGAATCCCTGTTCCCAGGCCCGACTCCTGTGTCTATCTTACGAGGAGCGCCCTCGCTCAGCGGACCCTAAATGATGCCGTCCCCCTCTGGCACCTCTTTACTCCCAGAAATGTCCGCAGCCCACTCCCCATCCGTATACAACTCAAAACTTGGAACAGAAACAATGAGGTGATTTATTACCCCCGCCCAAAGGGCCCCTCTTCCCCAAACACCGAGCGACTTCCCGCCCAGATCTTCAAGAGCCAGGCAGGGAAGGTACACAAGGTCTCCGTGCCCTCCCTCCATGCAGGCACTTCCGCACAGAGGCAAGGGGCGCACAGTCCTATGTTCCAGAACGGTACCCACCGCTGTGCCAGCAGGAGTCCCACTGAACAGCCAGACTCAAGTTCTGCTGGTTCCTGCCCCAGAATCAACCAGCAAGTCCTGGCACTAGGACCCTGCAGACAGGGATCCCTGAGCCTGCGCTCTTCAGGGGGAGATGCACCATTTCACAACTTCAGCAAAAGCCACAGCAGCCAGCAAAGCATGGCCACCTTGGCTCTGCAGGGCCCTGCCTTTTGGACAGCTCACCAGCCACTTCCCAGAAGCAGAGGGTGCCGTCTTTTCTCTTCTTCAACCTACGTCATCATCTGATCCTAACGGAAATCAATCTCCTCAAGTCACCACGCAAAGGCGTATCCATGGCAACCTCCAGAGGAAGGACACAGATGATGCTCCAGTGGCTGCAGCAGGAAAAGGTAAGCCCCTCTCCCTTCCATCCACAGCATCCCATCACGCTCCCTCTCCCTCACACCAGGCGTGCGCCATCCCCACAAATCCTACCTAGCACAGCAAAGATGGGTGTCAACTTAATAGCCATTGTGACTGTTATATAAGCTTATAGATTGGCCTAGTCTTTTAATGGAGAAGTAGGGGCCAGTCTCTCTCTTCCTGGGTGGTGGGATGGGAATAACATTTCTGCTATTACTATTCACAGTGTCAGGCCAGCAGAACCTGACACATTTCTAACTGTCAGGGTGCTTATTTCCGAGGTCCCACCACCCTGCCTACCACACTGTTGCCAGGCCCACCAACGGGTATGATGTGACCCACTTCTTAGCGGCCCTCGGCTCCAGTCCTTTCAAGCCCAGACACTGTGAGTTGGGATTAAATTGAGAGTCATCAAACACAAGAACTACTAAACCTAAGTGATCCTGCATGTCTGGTTTCCTCTGGTGTAAAATCAAGGTAATAATAGCACTGCCTTTCCTACAGGGCTGCTGGGAAAACAGCACACAGGACAGTGCCCAGCAGGAAGTGCTCAATCTCGGTCAGCCCTTACAATGAGGGATGGATGGAGGAAGGCTACTAAACACTTCCGGTGATTCTCGCAGGGCTGCCCTTTCCCTTCCTCTCGGCAGCTGTTCCATGCTTCCTTGACCGCTCTCGTATCCCTGTCCCTGCCCTTGCCCACACTCCTGACCTCCCTGGTCGACAGATCGCTTTGTGGAGAAAGGAAACTGAGCCTAGCAGGTAAGAAATCTTTTGTAAATGTATATGTACCTGCACTGGCCATCGTCTCTTTCTTCCTACTTCTAGAGTTGCTTGTCCCCTTCTTAGGGCAAACCCACCCCCCTCCTCCCTCCTCTGAGGACCAGATTTAGCCATCATGCTATCCTTGTGCCTTTGGTTGTCCCTTCTCGGGTGGCTCCTACACAAGAGCTAATACCCACGCTTCAGGACTTCTTATCTTAGGAGAAAACTGCCCCTCGACCCTGCTAGCCCCTCCCCACGCTGCTTGGAAGCAGGCACACCATCCGGCTTCACACGATTACCCCCTCTCTACTCTGGTTCCTAGTCCCACCAAGCACTAAAGCTCTGGTAACCAGTTCTGCTGACCGGATGTTCTCTCTGCCCAGTCAGTCTCAAGGGGCATTTCCCAAGCTCATCTTCCATGATCTTCCTGCTGCAACTGCTGATGCTGATTCCCCCCACCCTGGAAGCCCCCTGGGAATGCACTCCCCTCCTAGTTTCCTGGACACCCCCTCCCCACTTTGTGCACCAATCCTGACACCCACAGTTTCCTATAAGCATGTAGTGGAGTGCCCATCCATTCCCACAGCTTCAACTACCACCTAGACCTACTGCCCCTAGGTGAGAGCCTCCCCTTCTAAGCCTCAGACCACTTCCATCCACCATGGACCACAGACACCTCCAGTTCAGAATGACTCAAAACATGGTTGGTTTCTTCTCTCTGAAAAACATCCCTCTTTGCTACCACCAACCCCCCCAAAATAGAACACCGCGTCATCCCCAACAATTCCCCCCTCTTGTCTTCAAAATTAGTCATTGAGACAGGTTAATTCTTTCTCTGCGCCTTTTCTTAAGACTCGGCCCTTCTTCTCCAGCCCACTGTCATCAATTGTAGCTCAGCCTGAACCCACTCTGAGGCAAGGGTCCCTGATGTCCCCGATGGGGATGTCCTTCACCAATCCACTTTTATAGTCAGCATCCGCAAACACAAACCTATCACCTCCCTTCTTAAAAGTTTCCCAAAGCTTCCCTGCCCATAACATTGAAATCTTCTAGGATATGTTAATTACATCTCAATAAAACTATTTTTTAAAATCACCATCTTCTAGCACAGCTGTAAAGGCCATTTAAAACCTGGCCTTATTACGAGTCCAGCCTCATCAATCCCCCCTGAATCCCAATGTTCTCTTATATTCTAACCACTTGGATCTACTTACTTTACCTCTCATGCCTCTGCAAATGCTGCACACATCACTAGCCGGGGTCATTCTCCTTCCCCATCCTTGAAGACTCAGCTCAATGATCACATCTTTCCTGAAAATGCCCCTGCGTTTTCTATGTAGAGCTGCTCACTCACACTGCAGCCCTCACATGGCAATGGCACGGCAATGTCTTGTTTGATTTTAAGGAGGCGAGGGGGCTTCGAAATGCTATGGAAGAGATTTCATTAACTTTTCATTCCATTTTCCCACACATTTTTTGAAGGCCCCTTATACTGTTTCTCTATCCCACACCGAATTCCTCCAGGACAGCAGTTTTTAATCCACCTTAGTATCCTCAACATTGAACACAAGGCTTTGCAGAGAAGGCACTCAATGTGGAGCAAATGCCTGACCCAACGTGAGACTGTTGGGCTGCAAATGGGCTTTGATGCCTGTCGCAGAGTGCATTCACCCTTCAAGGTTCAGCAACGTGTTTTTTAATTGTCACCTATACTAACATCAAGCTCCCTTCTCTACTGCCAGCCTTTTTATACATCATAGGAAAGCAGATACGTGTCTACTTGTCCATATACTCACTGCCCCAAATCTCTTACTGACATACCACCATACCGACCGTCAAGCTGATTCTGACCTGTTAGTACAGAGGAAAACTGTTCCAAAGGCTTTCTGAGCTTCTAAAGCATTACAGGAGCACACAGCCTCATCTTTCTCTCTCAGAGCTGCTAGTGGGTTTGAACCACTAACCTTTGAGTTAGCAGCCCCGTGTTTAACCTACTGTACTACGATATGAAGGCTCCTTTCACTGCCACTCTTAAACAAACAAATGCATTGCCATCAAGTTCATCCGCCTCTTGGAACTGCCCTCGTAAGATTTCTGAAGCAGTGCTACATCTTTCTCCGCGAGTGGCTGGTGGGTACAAGCTGATCACCTTTCCATCAGGAATCCAACACTTCATCCTCAGAACCACCAGGGCTCCTTTGTGGTCATGCCATTCTTCATATTAGCATGAGTGCCTAGCACCTAGTGAGCACCCGGCAAGTCCCTCCACAGTGTGACACTAAGCTTATCTTCTACTCCTCTCCTAGGACACTGACCTCGGCCACCTCAAGCACACACTCCAGGCTCTGACACGCAGTCTCATACTGTGCCGCTTCAGCTGCTCAGGGCACCCTCCCTAGTCGTCCAGCCTTTAAGCCCAACGACAACCCCACTAGAATTTGGAGGATAAGAACAGCATTCAAAATCTTACCTATTTGAAACAATATCATGGTACAATTAAGGGCAATTCCGTTTGGAGAAAAGTTGGTAGGAATCGCAGTCCAATTTTTTTAAAAGTCAACTATTTGGAGATAAACTCGCCCCCCCCTCCCCCGTCCCCCGTGTGATTCTAACAACCTAATACCAACAGAATGGAAGCTGCAGAGAGATGTATTTCAGCAACAAGAACTTCCTTCCCGAGTCATCCCAAGATGGAATGAGTTGCTTTACCCAAACTAATATTACATTCCCCATTGACGAAAATGCTCAAGCCCAAATGGGCCATTTGGTAAGGGCACTGTAAATGGAATTCAGGATTCTGCCAAGGTTGATGGGCCTAAAACCAGATTTTTCTATCTGAAAGGAACCATAAGGTCTTCTAGTGCAGCCCCCTTTTTTACAGGCCTGGGTGGTGGTGGTGGTGAAGTGACTCACCCGAGGCAAACCAGTACATTCAGGCTAGCTGGCCAACAACGCCAGAGGTCTCTAACACTCTCCAGTGATCCACACCCTTGTCACTCACTCCAACCGTGGTCCCCAGGCCAGCTGCATTGCCGTCGGACTGTCGGACGCTACATTTTAACAACATCGTCAGGTGTGCACACCACTGAACCCAAACTCAGGTTCCAAACATATTGATGCAAAAAAGGCGGGTTTTTCTTTTTTCTTGGTTTGGTGTTTTGTAAGTTGTTATTATCTTCATAACACCCTGTGGCTCAGGCCTTGGCAGTAGTTACACTCGGTAAGGAGTGGCCATCTCTTTCTGCTCCGGAGCCCTGACTGCTTAGATCAGGCGGGTAAGCGCGCAACAGGGGCTTCCCACTCGCTTGCCGGCATTAAGTGATGCTGGATTTCCAAATCACTGACTCTTCCCCCAGCGGCGCCCCTCATCTGTGTGAATTAGCAGGGGCTCTGGCGAATGGGGAGAGAGATAAGGTGACTTCTCAGGGGTCCTCCTGCCAACTAAGGCGGATCCCAGGGGTGGAGCACGCCAACGCGGCAAACCCTCAAGCAGGCTCCCATGGCTGAATTCTTTTTTTCCTGCCCCGTCTGATAAACTTTCCAACCATGTGCCCACAGGAACCCCGTGGCCCCATATGTGCTCAGGGGGTGCTTTGGACGCTCCCAGGCAAGGCAGGGGCCCCTCGCAGCCCCCCGAGGAACGCGGCGGCGCAGGCACCCTGACCCCGGGCCGAGCTCAGGTGGGTCGGGCGCGCCGCGGGTAAAACGCTCGGGCGGAATCCCCAGGTCTGGGCGGGAGCCACCTGGCCGCGGCCCACCCCCGCCGGCCCTGCCCCGCACACGGGGCTCCGAGGGGGTCCCCAGGCCCACGCCGAGCCTCCCGCCGCGACCGCACCAGGGCACAGGGCGCGGAAGAGGAGACGGTTGGCAGGGTCGCCGCCTCAGTACCTGTCCTGCCTGCCAGGGGCTCCGCGCCGGGCTCCAGCCCCACCGGCGACCGACGCCCCGGACTCCGCGGCCCCGCCTCGCCGGCCCCGCCCGCCTGGGCTGCCCGACGCGCCGCCCGACCCCGCCAGGCCCACCCCAGAACCTTCACCCCTGAGGCTCAGAGATGCTCCGGACCCCGGGCACACGACCGTTTTCCCCCGCAGGCCGGCCCGACATGAGAAGTGCGCGCCGAGCGCAGCAGATGAGACATCCATCAGGCACAAAGTTGGACACCTGGGGCGGGATTTGCGCACGCGCACTGTACGCGGGGCGGCGATGAGGACCGCAGGAGAGGTGGGCTGCGGCGAGCGCCCTCTATCGGCGGAAAGAAAACAGCGCAAAAGAACCGAAGGACGGGTTCGTTCCCCGGGGTGGCTAAGGTTTTGAACACTAAACTGTAACTAAAGCAGTAGTGATCAACTGTATCCCGTCGGTTAGCTTGTGGGAGAATAAATGTTGCTGCTACTCAATCTCATTCATCAAGTGGAGAAAGAGGAATTCTCACGCACCGCTGATAGATTGTAAAAATAACGCAAATTTACACCAGGGCATTTTCTTTTTAATTAAAATTAAACAAAGGTGCAAATTTCTTGACATAATGTGCCCGCTTCCAATAATATAGTCTGAGGAAATAAACGCACAGTCATGCAAAGGTTGTTTGTTTTTTCTTATCGCACAAGGATGTTGGAAGAGCTGGGGGTTGATAGACGTGGTTTGAATCTTCACTGCAATTTACAAGCTGGGTGAGGTCTTAGGCTGATTACTTAACTTCTCTGCGAGCATATTAAGGGCGATGCTTATTGCATTCGATTTTAGGAGGATTAGGAAAAGCAATCCATGAAAAGCCTCTGGATTTTAGCTATTGTACTATTAATGTACCTACTGAACTACTGCAGTTAGTGTCTGATTAAAAATACCTGTAAAACCCATAAAGTTAGGGAGGAGGCTTCGTGGTTGAAAGGGTAAATGGGCAACTTCTACACCATTGCCCTTCCCCCGCCTTTAAAACTTTTTACCTAAATATTTCTAATTCTTATGAATCAACAATGCATTTCCATGGTTCAAAAATCAAAAAAATATATATCCACTAGAACTGATTGTGATTACACAACTCATTTTAAAAGCGATTTAACCATGGAAGTATGTGATATGTGAATAGTATCTCAAGAAAACCACGAAGCGGAAAAAAGAAAGAAAGAAACCAGACTTAACCAACGGTTACCATAGGTGAAAGGGAAAGGGTTGTCTCATAAAGGCCATTGAACCAATGTCAATGGTGGTACAATAACTTGGACAAGGAGATCAATAGTGGCTGTACAGCACAAAGAGTCTAATCAGTGACCCTGAATTATTCAAGCAGAAGTTGTGGAATTGGAGGAATAAATAAAATAATTACCTAGCGGCGTGGCAGGGGAGGTTTGCGGGCAAATGGGGCACTAACAGCAATGAGTAAGAGAAGACAATGTTCTGAAATTGATTGTGGTGATGATCATGTTTGGACTAAGCTGAAGCAGGCCTGGCCCTGCATGTGCTTCCCTGCATGTCCCTGGAGGTCAGCAGCAGAGGGCGCTGGATAAGATAACCGGTGAGACCAGATGCTCTGGGTTCAAAGAAAGCCACAAGGAGTCGACAAGCAATTCTTGGAGCTTCCAGACCCCATATGCTAATTGCCATAATTGCTATACATTCCTCACCACCCCTTTAAAAACCATCGCCCCCAGCTGCTGAGCACGACTTCCCTGACCTGTTGGCCTAGGTCATGGAACCTCATCGGAGTTCCCCCTAATAAAGCTATTTCTGTTTCTGCTCTCCCTTGTCCTGTCAGTGATGTCTGTCTGTCTCCCTGTACCTCAGTTTCACCTTTATAGATGGCACAACTCTTCTTCATATGACCAAGTGATCAAATTGTATGATATGTGGAGCCCATGCCAATAAAACTGTTTTTAAAAATGAAAAAAAAGTTATTAACATGAAAAATATATAAATAAACAAAACACAAGTTCAACCCCAAATATATATATCCACTCTCCTACCCCTGTTCCCATCTTGCCCACTACAGATGACCTTTGTTGATTGTGGGATACAAAAAAACAGTTCCCCAGCTCGACTCCCCCAAATATATGTTAGACTTAGGACACTGCTTGCAACTAATGGGAAATGATTGTCAAGTTATCTCCCTGAAGACTCCAGCAGACACCATGGTTTCTCCCACAATAGGTAGGGCTCACTCTCTGCTGTTGGGGACAGTGGGTTGCTTCCCCTGAAAACTCAGGCTACATAAAGTCTCCAGCTCCAGGGCAATCAAGGTTAGGCCCCATCTTGAATCAAGGATCCGCCCATCTTGTCACATGTGTACCCTTAATCTCTCCTCTTCCTATTGCACGTACACCCCTAGATTGTCCGCCTCTCATTACTGTATTACCTATAGTACAACCCTTTCCTGTGACGTACGTCTTTATCTGTAATTAGGGGGCTTGCACATCCCTGAAAGATACATAAGCCTGGGTTAGCAATAAACCTTGCTCGCTCTCTCCTGCCCTGTACCAAGAGGAGCTGAGGTGAGCACGCTACCATGAATGTGTCTGAATCCATTATTTCAATCTCTCTTCTCTCTCTCCTTATTCTCTCTGACTTTACTATCATCTTTCCTTATTATCGCCAAACAATTGCACCTACCGGATCTGTGATGATTTGTTAGGGGCTGGCTCCCCTGACAGTTGATCCTACCAGTGGCTTGTGTGCAAACAGAAGGTAATATACATACACATACATGTGTTGTCAGTTGCATTCCAATCAGCTCCAACTTGTAGCAATCCTATCTGTGTACAACAGAATGAAGCGCTGCCCAGGTCTGGGCCATCCTCACAATTGTTATACTTCAACCCCTTGTTGTAGCCATTGTCTCAGTCCATCTCGCTCGCTGAGTCTTCCTCTTTTTCACTGATCTTCTCCTTTACCAAGCTAGATGTCCTATCCCAAGGACCTGTCTCTCCTGATAACAAAGTACACAAGACGACGTCTCACCATGCTCCCTTCTAAGGAGCTTCTGGCTGTACGTCCTCCAAGACAGAACTGCTGGTTCTTCTGGCAATCCGCAGGACTTTCAATGGTCTTCATCAACACCATAATTCAAAGGATGAGTTCTTCTTGATCAATTTCAACCTGAAGAACCTGGTAGAATTCTTCAATTTCGTTAACACTGGTTTTAGTGTGGGTGCATAAATTTAAATAATAGTTGTATTCACTGGTCTTCCTTATAACCATATGGATATAATCCTATTGCAAACAGCATTGAACTTCAAGGTAAATCAGATGTTGTTTTGATAAGCATGTGATGCAATTCCTCTTGAATTTGTCTGTGTTAGTCTGGGCAGACTAGAGAAACAAATTCATAGACACTCGTATGTGTATAAGAAAGAACTGTATATATAAGAGCAATTGAATATTGAGAAAACATGCCAGCCCAGTCCAAATCAAGTCCATAATCTGATATTAGCCCATATGTCCAATATCCATCTATAAATTCCTCTTTAGACTCAAGGAACGCATGCAATGATGCCGAATGCAGGAAGATCACAGGCCAGTGTATGGGAAGTCTTGTGGATCCACTGGTATTATAAGCATCTCAGTGCTGGCAGGGGTCTCCATATGGCTTTTCCTGCACAGGACACTAGCTGAGTTCCATGTCAGTAGAGCGTCTCCCAGGGAATGAGCAGAGGAGCAGAGAGAGAAGTGTCTCTCACCTCCGAGGAGGAAATATAGGAGTTCCCAGAATTCTCAGGAGAAGGCCTTGCCCAGAGTCCTCATTGCTTATATCTTGATTGACAGGCCAGATCCCCACCCCTTCACTCGTAATCCTCGCAAATTGACACCAGATTATGTAACTACCACATTGTCCTTCCCAGTATATATATAACCATGTGAATGTTCACTTCAAAATAGCTCATATAAGTCCAGCTCACTAATGCCTAGGATATTGATCTTTATGTATTCCATGTAATCTGTTGACAACCTCCAATATTTCTAGATCCATACTTCATATATTCCACATGCTGATCATTAGTGAATGTTTGCAGGTGTTTCTTCTCATTTTGAGCCGTGCCCCATCAGCAAATGAAGGTCCTGAAAGCTTTGCTCCATCCGCATCATGAAAGTTGGTTCTGCGTTAAGGAGGCAGCTCTTCCCCAGGCTTAGTTTTAAGTGCCTTCTAAGCGGAGGGGCTCATCTTCCAGTAATATAGCTGACAAAGTTCCCCAGCTATTCCAAAGGTTTCCAGTGGTTCCTCCCTCAGAAGTGGATGAGCCATTCCTTAGTCCTTGTCTTTTTGCAGTCTGGAAGCGCCACCGAAACTGGTTTAGCGTGTGTGACCCTCCTCAAATTTGAAACACTGGTTTTAAACGTCCAGCATCACAGCAACACAGTCACCACAGTAAGACCAAGTGACTGGCTAGCAATGGGACGGGTATACTCACTCCTCTCCATTTCTTTGCAAAAGCATGTGTATTATGTACTCTTAGGTCTTGGTTTGTGTTTGCTTAATAGTATATCTTGGAGTTCAGGTAACACTATATCCTGGAGCTGTTTCTAAATCAGCAAATAGAAATGTCCTTGTTTACTTTCTCTGCTACATAGTACTGTATTTCTGCTATATAGTATTCTATTTGATGGATACACAAAAGGTATTAACCATTTAAAAACAAACAAACAAAAGGTATTAACCAACCTCTTCGAACTGGATACTTTATGTCATCTTTTACTATTGCGAACAAGCTACAAGGAATAAACTTGTACAGGAGAAACCAAGTAAAAGTGTATCGTTTCTGTGGAGCTAGCACACAGTCTATGGAGGAAATAATAGACGTGTGACAGTTAAGGTTTATTGTGCCAGCCTGGCCAATGAACACACGTGGGATTAACTGAAGGGCAGAGAGATAAATGGCTCAGCAGCCTGTCTGATCTCTTGCTCTCTGATGGTCGGACCAGTGTGCGGCTACCTTAACTAGTTCTCTTCCTCAGCTGGCAAGGATCACTTCCTGTGAGACATCTCTGAGGAGAAGCCATATGGACCTACCCTGATGCAACTCTGGGTGCTGGAGAAGCCATGTAGAGACCCCTGCCAGCGCTGAGATGCTTACACTACCACTGGATCCAAAGACTTTCTACCCACTGACCGGTGATCATCCTGCATTTGCCGTCATTGCCTGTGTTTTGTGAGTTTGAGGAGGACTTTGTAGATTGGTGTCGGACATATGGGATAATGTCAGACTCGTGGGCTTGGACTGAACTGGGTTGGGATGCTTTCTTAATGTACACTTACCCTTTATATAAAACTCTCTCGTATCACATATGAGACTCTGTGGATTCATTTCTCTAGTCTGCCCAGACTAACACAAGATGCAAAATTAAATGACTCAAGGAAATGGGCAGTCTTGGGATGTGTTAGACAGGGTTCTCTAGAAAGATACAACCAAATTGCTGATAATTTAGTATATTTATTTATAAAGATAATTAGATATATAACACAAGAAATGAACTGTTAAATTATATACAGTTAAATATATAATACAAAAAATGAACAGTTAAATTATAAAGCAGTACAAATGGCTCAGTGCAACTCACTCCTGTGAGAGAGAGTTGTGATACACTAGCAGT